TTACCTTTACCTTTTCCCTTCCTTTTTTTTTCTTTCTTTCTCTTTCTCATTAACTAACACACTTAGTCTTTACAATACTTCCTGTATAAATGAGATGGATATTTATTTTTAAAGATGATAATTATGCTGATATTCATGTGGACCTTATTTAGGTCATAATATTTTTAAACTTGTTGCCTACACATTTTTTTCTGGCATATTTGTAACTGGGATTGTATAATTATACAACTAAAAATACAACTGAGTTGTACAATGCAGGTGGATGAGTAATATTTTATAGCTAAAGTGATGCATCTAGCAGATTCAGGCGATTTAGTGTCTTTAATTTGCACCAGGAAGCGCCAACTATAAATAAAGGCACCACAAGGAATCTCAGGGTATGTGGACCTCAGCCTCTGCTCTGCTGTGGACGTGGAATACTTTGCTTTCCTAGATCCCAACTATAAAATATCAACATTGCATTTTCCTTCCAAGAGATTGTGCTTTCCATAGAAATAAAAGTACGTGACCTCACTTATGTGTGGAATCTAAAAAAAATTAAGCTCATAAAAGCAGAGAGTAGAAAAGTGGTTGCCAGGGCCTGGGGGTGGGGTAAATGGAGGGGTATTGGTCAAAGGGTACAAAGTTTCAGTTATGTAGGATGACTATAGATAATAACACTGTACTATGTACTTGACATTTGCTAAGAGGATAAATCTTATGTGTTTTCACCACACACACAAAAAAGTGACTATGTGAGGTGACAGATGTGTTAATTAACTTGATTTGGTAATCATGTCACAATGTATATGGATAGTAAAACATCGTCATGTGTATACCTGAAATATATACAATTTCTATTTGTCAGTTATATCTCTATGTTTTAATTAAATTAAACATTTTAATTAAATTAAAAATGACATTGTTCATGTCTAACTTGAATGAGAGAGAATTAATAGATAAAGAAAAAGGTAGTAAATAAACGTACCATAGAGTGAGTGAAATTTTCGATATTTTACTCAGTTGTTTACCTGGTGCCTCAGGTTGCTGGAGCTCTGTGCAGACCCCGGACGCCAGGAAGACGGAGAAGTGGGTCCAGAACGAATTAAGCCTGAAACGTCGCTGGAGGCAAAAATGCCAAAACTGAAGCTGTCTTACTTCAGGCACCTCAGGAGAAGGCAGGGTTCTGTGGGGAAGACAATACCCTGGGAGAAACAGGAGGCAGCAGGAGAGGAGCAAGGCCGCGGGTGAGGCGTTCACTCCACAGAGGAAGCCGGAGGCCTCAGGCCACAGCAGCCGGGGGCCGTGAGGACAGGACGCTGCGGGCGTCGCTCACTCCCAGGGTCACCAAACGCTGGAGCTGACTCAGTGGCACGTAAAGACACATCTAAACATTTTGCTGGCGAACAAATATATTTAGTCTTAATAGTTCCTATTTTTTGCTAAGAACAGAACAAAGGGAAATGTCCTTAAATAAGACAGTTTGAGTTGATAGTAATGGTGTTAATTCACCGGGTAGAATTTTATGAGATCCAGTAGATTTCTAATGGCAAACGGAATGCTGCCTGGAGAAGGGAAGTGGGCAGACTCAGGAGACATGGTTTTCAAGCACAGAGCTAAGAAAGTTAATGCAGTGAATAGTTAGCTCTGCATTCAAAAATACCTTGCTTGACTAAGGATGAGCTACGTCCAACAATATGAAGCCTATAGGCAAAAAAATGTAAGTTACTGTATTTAGGTTCAAGAATTCAACCTGGTGAGAATATTTTTGAGAACTGAACCTACAATGATTCAGGTATGAAAAATGTTAGGGGTTTTAAGTGACTCGCTTTCAAAAGAAAATAATGGTACGTGGCCTGCAATAATAATACAGGTCTGGGGTTCAAACTGTGGGATGCAGGGGCCTCTCTTTCCCCTGCACGGTTCATGCCGTGTCTTCCTCTATTCCATTTGCCATGCTTCGTTCATTTACCCCTCACAAGGAAAGGGAAACGCGGTACTGAGATTGGGCAAACCTGTCCCATAAAAGTGACTTAGAGAACCTGGAAATATTTAATGTAGAGAAGCAAATGAATTGAATAAACACTCGCTAATTGCTTATCCCTCTTCATCTCCCCTACACCTTATTGCCGAATTGCCACAGAGTTCAGTTCTTTGTTTTTCTGTTCTCCATCTGTCCTAACCCCCTTGGTCGCTGCATCTCTTCTCACGGCTTCGGGTACCATCCACATGCCGACAGCTATCACATGGATCCCTCCGGTCCTGAGCTCTCCCAGGAACCTGTCCTCCACTCAACTATTTCCTTGCCACCCTCACGTGGATGCATAATAGATGTTTCCAACATAATATGAACTCCTGCTCTGACTACCATGCCCCCTGCCTCCTGAAACATGCTTCCCAGGCAGTTCCATCTTCCATTTGCTTAGGTGAAAACTACTGGAGTCAGGCTTCTCTGATCACTGCCGAGAGGACGCGACGCCTGCCAGGTGTGTGGGAGGAAGGTGGCGGAGTAGGAGCCAGTCTCATCTCAGCAGGTCCCCCGGGAGCCTTAGAAGGTGTGTGCTTGGAGGAGATACTTGCTAGCACGGGGCGTGTCTTCCAAGAAGCGTCCTGTCATCCTGGATACCTGCTGCTCTCGTCTGGTCTGTGGGTGAAGAAGACAAAGTCTTGATGAAAATTGCATTCTCGAATGGGCGGCCTCGGCCAGGAGAGGTTGTTTCGGGATGTTTGGGGGAGTCTGATTCTCCGAACACACTGGGGTGGGCAACTGTGAAGTGCACAGTGGAGCCTGTTTCTGGTGACACTGAGAACAAAGCTTTTAATGACGGTCTCACCCACAGAGTGCAACGCGCAATGCAACACCTGGGACTGCTCCCTCTTCTGTTATTGTGGAAGTAATTATACTCTTCACGGAACACAATAATCTGCAATATTTCTCAGAGAGAAAAAAGAACAAATTCTGCCTCTCCTGGTTCAATTTCCAGAGCAAAATCCAATAGCTTTACTGTTCTACAGGAAAAACAAAACTAAAAACAAAGCACACTGACAGCCCAGATGAGCAGAAAACAGCTATGGGTCTCAGGGAATATGTTTATTTTTAATTTCCCTCTCATTGGTCTTTTGTATAGATATGTGTTTTAAAAGCCGGTATTCCACCTACTGTATTTATTTATTGTGTTATGCATGCGATGATCACTCATTGCCCAGGTACTGAGAGTGACTTGGTATCGATAAGCTGTAGTCAATGCAGCCGAATCGGAGTTTTCATTTGCCATGAGATTTAATGTTGGGCCTGCTGGAACAGAGGATGCGCCAGGGTTTACTCGTGTGTAATCTAAATGTGACTATAGCTAAGTATCAAGCAAAGGAAGACAGGTGCCAGGTGCCATTTTGTTGTTGTTGTTACTTATTAAGAGGGCTACGTAAGCACTTTGTTGTTTCACTAATCCTCAAAATAACCCTAAATAGGGGCTACCGTTCCTGTTTTATATACGAGGACAACAGGTGTCCTGTAAGTTCGCATGATTTGCTTGAGCCAGAAAGTTAAACCCAAGGCTTTCAGTTTCCTTCAAAGCCTACGTGCTTAGTTCCTATGCTGTGGTGCTTCCCCACCACGAGAAAAGGGGCAGAATGGAACAGAAGAGTGATGTGAGGGAACAGAAAGCAAGGCGAGCCGCCTTCCTCTCCGGGGTCGTGGGGAGCTCCCAGGCGAGGGCAGACAGAGGGGGGCTGAGGGGACGAACGGTTGAGACATCAGTGACTTCTCCTTAACGTTTTGGTGGCTTGAAGCCATGGCCCTCATGACGGTGATAAAGAGTCTGGGAAGAAATACAGCTACTTCAAAGGAAACCACTTCCAGGACATCTGCCAGGACGAAGAGCGTTGGCCTGGTCTTCACACGCAGCGCTGCTTGTCACCACCATTCCGGACGCTGGCCGTCGGGAGGGCCCGTGGGGGACCAGCAGCGGTGACGCCCCGACGGCTCAGCTCGCGCGGGGCTGGAAACCAGCACCCAGGGGTGGCGGCTGGGAAGCGGCAGCCCAGCGACCCGGCCTCTGCAGAGCTGGGAACGCGGCACCCTGCGGCCGGCGCCGGCAGCCTGCTGGTGTCCCAGCGAGGCCACAGTGGGGACAAACCGCCTGCCGCTGCCCAGGACAAGCGCGGTGACAGGCACAGCAAACAGGAAGGAGCATGTCCCTTCTCCTCTGCCCGCCATCAGCACCCGGTTAGGGAGTGGCTCCCCTTTCCCCAGAGCCCCAAGGGGGGCCATCTAGCAGCGGTGGGAAGTGGCAGGGCCCTGGCTGCGGCAGCACAGACCCGAGCGTGGAGAGGTGGCCTTGGCGCTGAGGGACGTGGCTTGATGAGCAGCGGGTGCGAGTTTGCGGGACCAGCAACTCAGGTCCCACAAGTGAGTTAAACGGGGGGCTGGTGGGAAGCGGGAAAGAGGAGGTTCCTGACCCAGGCGCAAGGGGCAGAGGAAAGGGGGGGAAGGACCTCTCTCCGGGACCAGGGAGTGGGGCAGAAGGAATGCATGGTGGCTCGCTCGCGAACACTGGGCATTTTCAGGCCCCTGAGCTGAGGGTTTTGAACTTGACCACGTTGGAAGGAGATAAAGGCGCCTGGGGAAAACCTTACCTGCCAGTCAAGAAGGAACTAAGCAGATCCAGTGGGAATTTCCCTACAATCCAGGGCAGCTGCTGACATTGTGTGGCTGCTTAAACGCCGCAGACAGGGAACAGATACTGTTTATTTGTGTTCCTGTTCTATACAGAGGGAGCTAGGAAACGAGTGTAAACACAGGTACAGCTAATTGATGTAGCAACCAGTGGGTTAGGACTTCAGAGAACAAACCGATTACACTCTATGTTGCAGGGCTTCTCAACCTCTATTATTATTATGTTTTATCACCCCTCTAAGGAACCCTTCTGAATTTTTTTCCTAATTGTTTCTCCTCCCATAAACATTTTAATAGCGTAGATATACTGTACATCTGTTTGTACACTGTGGCCCTTTGGGGGGCCACAAACCATTGTAATGTCTATGATTTTCCCTTCTCACACCTCCAAAAACTAATTTCGCCCCCTTGGAGGAGTAGCACCCCAATTAGAACTCATGCTACGGCGGAGGTTGCTGGTGCCCCACCCAGATCACCGTCAGCTGGTTCGGCTTTCCCCCAGCTGCTGTGAGGGTCGCCCCAGGTCAAAGGAAACTCCCCCAGGGGAGGTTTACCTCCTCCCCGCTCCCAGCTCCTAACAGCCAGCAGCCCAGGCCGACTTGCAGGGAGGTGCAAAAGGCTGGCCCTCCCTTTCCCGAGGGCCCCTTGGTCAGTGTCAGCTGGTGTCCCAAGCCAAACCCACCCCGAGCCTGCCGAGAACCGTCTCTCCCATTGTTACAGTCGGGGGTCCGGGACGGAGTGCTCGCTTCCTTGGCCTCCACAGCCAGGTGATCAAGGGGCGACCTCTGGGTGGCGGCCCCCAAATTGGGCCACCAGAGGTGTGCAGAAGTTCCTGCCGGAGATCCTGGAGCTTTGCAGCAGGACAGAGGGACAGCGGAGAGATGCTGCTGAAGGAAAAAAGGTAAGAAAGAAAAAGAAAAAGCCTAGCATTAAAAAAAAATAGAAATGGCTACAGTGGGCAGAAGAGTGAGAAGGTGCCGCCGGCCAGCAGGCCCCAGTTGCGGTAAATTAGGGGCCGGACCTCAGCTGATGCTTGTAGGAAATGAGCCTCCTTCCCATGAAGCCCGGCCCCCCTCGGATGCCTCTGCCCGGCTCTGGGGCAGGTGAGTCTGCGCCACAAGCCCTGGAGCTGTTTCTCAGGCGCTGTATCCGTGCGGGGCTCCTGGACACGAGCCCCATTGTCTTTCAAAGTTCGATGTTTCAGGGACTCCTCTCTCAGGTGCAGGTCTTACAAGTTGGGGGGCCAATGTGGGGTTCCAGCCCTTCAGCGCTCAGGGAGAAGTCCCTGAGTTCCCTCCTGACCGTGGCTCGCTGCCCAGGGGGTGGGGTTTATGGCAAGACTGTGTCCACCCTCCTACCCTCTTTGGTGTGGACCTTCTGTCATTCGCACTATACTTCAGGTTGAACAGCTTTTAGTGCTTCTTTTTCAGAGGCAGTTTCATCTTGAGTTGCAGATTCAGTGTGTCTGTGGGAAGAGGTGAGCCCAGCATAGTCCTACATCACCATCTTGAACCACAACCCCAAGCTCCTCCATCTGAAAGGAAGAATACGAGGTAGGTGAGTGAGGGGGCGCCGATGAAGTATGTTTGCTTGTGGGCACCAGGACGAGCAAAGACGTGGAGGGTTTGGATAGTCAGGTTAAAGAGTAAACTGAAACGGGTTATAGGGCAGGTATTTCAGAGAATGGCTGTTCTGTCCATGACAAGAACCTCGCTGAGAGCCTGCTTGCTTATTCGAGAACTTGGAGTGAGGGCAGGGAGACCACAGGCAGGCGCTTTAGCCCCTGGATGCGTGGGGAGCTCAGACAGACACACACGCTGAGATCCAAGGGCAGCAGATAGAAGATACTGTAACAAAATGTAAGATTGTGTGGTTCATCTGTGCTGGCCATGGGACTGTAGAGAAACGGTGACTGACACTGTTGGTTGGTTATGCAGGTCCTGAGTGATAAGGCAGGACAAAACAGAGCTAAAACATAGGATTTGGAATTGAATACCATTTATAATTATAAATTACATTACCTCCACATAGGCTGCTGTGTTGTAGTGGGATTAGGAGCAGGTGAAAAGGAGATAGCTAGCTATTTAGACACCTGTACAAGAGTTGTCTATTTTCAGAGATCTGATGTTTCCAGACAAAGCAAGCCCAGAGTTAGATGCTCTGATTTTGAACCAATGAGCTTCCTGTTGAGTTTCCTTCCCCTCCTTGGCAGGAAAACCAAATTGGAGCTTATAGATTAAGAGAGAGCCAGTGAGGAAAGTTTGAGGATTCCTGTGGTTATTGGCCCCACGCATGTGAGGAGTCCATCCATGACCATGTAGCATGTGAGGAGTCCATCCATTACTATGTAGCGTGAGGGAAGTCCATCCATGACCATGTAGTGTGAGGGGAGTCCATCCATTACCATGTAGTGTGTGAGGAGTCCATCCATTACCGTGTGGCAGAGCCCGGAACCAGCTGGTGGGAGCAAGAATGAACAAAGCACAATGAATGAAAGAGAAGGGACTGCAGGCATCCAGAAAGGGGGGGGGGGGGAAGGGGGCACAACAGTCAAGAGGGAACACATGCTGGTGAGATTCCCCATCACGCCGATTCTGCATCTCTTGCCTATCCTTTGGTGCTGTTTCTTAGATTTGTCCCCGCCTCTCCATACTCAGTACCACTTCCCTGCTAGGGTCACATCATCTACACTAACTAATGTGCAGGAAAAAGTACATTCAAATCAAAATCATGAAACATTGTCAAAATTTAAGAAGTGTTAGGAATATTTTGACTCTACGCAAATTTGAGTTTATTAGGCGCTCTTTCGAAGGTCACCTTCCTGTGTGATGTGACTTCTTTCTTCTGAAATATTTGATTCATGCTGAATTGCACCATAATTAAATTCCCTTGTGTATTGTGGGAGGGAGGAGTTAAAAGTGCAATCAGCACTTTATAAACTGTATGTGAATTTTTTACCACAAATTTAAAAAATCATAGCCTTGCTTTTCCTCAATGCCCTCCCCTCTCCCTATAGCCCTGCTGGCAGTGGCCATGTACCCATTTAATACCAGTCTAGGCAAAGCATAGATGGGGAGGAAAATCATGCCTATTACAAAAAAATTATCCACTATAATATGTTCTCCAGTTATTACCCATGTAGTGTATTGTGCATTATCTATGCCAAGGCTCGGCTCCTTTTAGCATGGAAAATTGAGAAAGGGCTAGACAGCCAAAATTATAGTGTTTACAGAGGACAACTTTATGAGCCAGAAAGAAGCTGCCCTAAATTCCTGCCAATGGTAGGAAAGACTGCCTGCCTCCAAAGCCCAGCCATAAGGTCCCATCTGCCAGGTGACATTGCAGACGCAAGGAACAGATGATCCCATGGCCTGCCCTGATTTCCCCGCCCCGCAGGCGGCCTGATGTATAGGGTAGGATACGATGGGAGGGAAGGCTGAGAACTTCAGTACCGGATAAAACCTGCCCTTCCACAGATACCGCAGGGTCAGTACCCCGCTGACAAACGTCCTCTGAAAGAAGTAAGAAATTTCACAGCACCTTCCGTAGGGAACACAAAACAGAGCTGCCAGAATTATAGGGATGAGAAAACTCTTGGCTGCAAACAAACGTTGAGACTCCTTTCCGGACTCTTATCCTCAAGGAGATAGGTCCTCTGTCGTATCTACACCCAACGGAGCATCCTTCCGTACGGACCAAGCGGCCCGTGCTGGGTAGGGGCGGTGCGGAGAGTTGGCCTCTGCACTCGATTAGAAACAAGACAAGCCAGATCCTAACGGGGGCCTGGGAACAACAGGCCTCAACTAAATAGAGGAAGGCGTGTAGACAGTTTTTAGCAGTGGGGAGTCAAGCACTGCACCAGTGACAATTTGTAAGAAATAATATGAGTTAGCGTGACTGGGTACCATGCCATCCACACTGGGATTTGGGCCAGGACTTCAGATTCTGGAAGGATTTGGGGAAGAAAGATAAAAAGCCTCAGTACCAAAGGAGCCAAGGTAGGGACCAGTCAGGGAAATAGCCCAATAATGTTTCCAAGGGGGACTAATAGCCTTGTCGTTTTTGGGCCACATTTTCTGGCTCAGTGGCTGATCACTCTGCTCACTTTTTCTTGAGCTTTGGCTCCTGTGGTATTACCCTTATTTATTTTTCTTTAACTTTCGTGGTCATGCCTTTTTAATCCCCTTCAAAGGGTTTCTTCTCACCACATATAGGACAATCTGCACGTGGATGTCTCATTACATCCAGTTCAGTGCTTCCCAACCAGACGCTCCTCCTGCATTCCCCGCCTCAGTGAGTGGCACCCTCTTCCAGGCTTCGGCCTTTCCCTCTCTTGTGCTTGTCCTGTATTTCCTTTTCCAGTAACTGCCACCAGCTCCCCACACCTCCAAAAGGGTGACTCTCCCCTTGGTCCCACCTGACAGTGTGCCTAAGGCTTATGTTCAACTTTGTTCCCAGAGTCCCACCTTTTAAGATTAGGCAGTACTC